GGTTCTGATGAAGAATTTCTGGATGTTCTTGGTGTCAGACGTAGATTATACACGGATGAAGATGGAGAGTAAGATGGTGAAGACAAGGGGATTGAATATGAAGAATATGGCTTAGAATATAAAGAGTAAGGGTATTGTGAAGACAGCAAAGCTTTTGCCGAATATTTTATGTCTTGATTACGACATGCTTCGGAGCAATATAAAGTACCCTAATTAATATAATAATAAAAATCACCCATTAATTATTATTATCATTATGATTATTATATCAATATATAAATAAATATATATATATATATATATATTTCATATACTGTATATATACGTGTTATGAATATATGAAATATATGAAATATATGAATCAAAGTGTACTTTTAAGCTTACCGAAGTGTGTTGAGAGCAAGTAAGACACCAGTCAAGATCCATTTTTTTTCAAAGTAATTTTATAATTTTGATAAAATTTAAATCTCTGATGTGTTTTTTTTTTATATTATTACGCAAATAACGCTCGGTGTGAAGAATAGGGACCAAAGCAAACGATAAAGACCAATGCACAATAAGTATTTTTAAGATGGACGCTTTTAACAGATAGCAATAATGCGACTGAGAAAGAAATTTTTTGTTGGTAATATTCTTTCACACAAGCGAGAGCGAAACTACGGTAAAATAAACATGAAATGAAATTTTAAAATCGGGGATGTGGGGATTTTCGTCTCATTGATATACTTTTTTTTTAAATTAGACAATATACAATATATATATATACAATGATAAAATATATATACATATATATACTAAACATATATATACTATATATTTATATATACATATATTTATATATATATATTTTATGCTATTTTGTGTGATGATTAGGGGATGCCTTTGCCGATCATCTATTATTACAAATAAAACAAAACAAAATTGTAAGACAAAGCATATTAAGGATTATGATAAGTGTAGTACGTACTAGAATGGTACAACGGGAAAATTTTGCCAGAACCGGTCTAGAAGGGCGTAATCTATCATACCCATATCTGATGTTAGGAGTAGTACAATATACACGTACAGATGTTGGCTATTTTGCTAGCTATTATCGTTATGCGTATTAAAATTATATTCTGTACGTACGTACGTACGTACTTGATATTTTGTATGTGCCTGAATGTACGTATGACTACTATGATTATTAGATTTTTTTTTTTTTTTACCCCACACCCTGCTTCAATATTTAACCTTACTAACATTGTAACATCAGCTCCCTTTTTCACTAATCAACTCATTTTTCACTACGCCTCTTTTCCCTTTGTACCACAAATATTTTTTTTAAACACGTACCAAGTATACACGTAACTGTTTT